GAAGTGCACAACATCATCAGCAAGCTTGGAAATACGACATTGTTTCCCTCAAACAAGTTATTTATACATTCATGAAAAGCTGAGACCCAAGCGCTGATCCTTATGGAACATCACCAGTCACCATCTGCCACCCAGAAAAAGATCCTTTTATTTCCAGATTCTGTTTCCAGTTTGTCAACTAATTCTGAATCCAAACCAGTATATTACGCCCAAAACCCATCTGCTTTCATTTTGCCCACTTGCCTCTTATGTGTGATCTTATCAAAGTCCTTCTTATGCAACACCTCCACTGGTTCTCCATTTTCTGTTCTACTAGTTACATCCTCAAAAAACTCCAGTAGATTAGTTAAGCATGGTTTCCCTTTCATCAACACATGGTGACTTTGTCTAATCCTGCTAATCCTTTCCAAGAATCACTTTCAGAAATTGCTGCAGTTTATAGACCTTTGAAACTTGAAACTACTCTAGAAAACAACAAACACTTTCAGATGCAACAACCAGAGGAAAAATAATCATTCAACAACTAATCTGTAAAGACATGGTGGTCCTTGTAAGCAGATCTAGTGGGGGAATCTTCTTGCTGGTGAATATTTAGTTTACAGTGCGACATTGAAAACAGTGCATTAACTGGAATGTTATTGTCCAGAATGGTATGGCTGGTGTCAAATCAGTTTTTCATTTCTTTATTGACATTGCCATTTACGTGCCCTGGAATGTCTGGTTGGCAATGGGGAATGATGCTAAGAGCATGGGTTAAATTCCTGAACTGGCTGAGGTCACCACAAAGGTCTTTCCTTTTCAACCTTGCACCTTGCATGAGGTGTGGTGACCCTCAAGTTAAGCTCATCATCAGTCATCACTCTGTAATGATAAAGCAGGACTGAGGTGACTTTAGCTTTATCCTTACTGTGAGTATTCAGTCTACATCAAATACTCACCAATCAGGTGTCGACTACAATTTAGGACATAAGTATGTGCACTTGCCTTAGTTTCCATTTGGACAGCTAACAGCAGTCATGTACCCAAACAAAAGGCAGAAATTTTCCCAATTTCCAGTATGGAATATTGAATTTTTTGAGGTTATTGGTTTAACTGTTAGCACCCTCTTGTGTTGAACTCATCAATGTGCCTCTGTAACTCTTCCAGACAGGCTCAGACATTTGATGAAAAGAACAGCTACAGAACTAGTAGTTTTTAAATCAGATACAGTAGTAATCAAAGATTCACAGATGGAAAGAACAGAACATCACAAGCCCCCCCCACTGTTTACTGTATAGGCAGGGAAGGATGCAAAATAATTTACTGTTGAAAATACTTATTTCCCTTTTCTGAATTTCTCACATTTCATCTTAATCTTGCTGTCAGAAGGAATTCAAGCTTTGGTAAGTCTCACTATCCCTTCACAAGACTGAATTATATTTTATCCATTCATGGCATGTGGGCATCGCCGCTGGACAACATTTATTACCTATCCCTAGGTGCCCTTGAGAAGGTGGTGGTGAGCTGCTTTCTTGAACTGATGCAGTCCACATGCTGTAGATTGGCCCACAATACCATTAGGGAAGGATTGCCAGAATTTTGACTCCGCGACAGCAAAGCAAAGGCAATATGTTTCCAAGTTAGGATGGTGAGTGGCTTGGAGGGGAAGATGTAGGTAGTGGTGTTCCCATGTATCTGCTGCCTTTGTCCTTCTAGTTGGAAGTGGTCATGAGTACAAAAGGTGCTGTCTAAAAGATCACACACACTGCTGCTACTGAGCGTCATTTGTGACATGAGTGGAAGCATGTGAATCTGGTGCCAGTCAAGTGGGCGGCTTTGTCTTGGATGGTGTCAAGCTTCTTGAGTGTTATTGGAGCTGCACCCATCCAGGCAGGTGGACTGTATTCCAACACACTTCTTACTTGTGCCTTGTAGATAATGGACGGCTCTGGGGAGTCAGCAGGTAAATTACTTGCTTCAGTATTCCTCGCCTCTGACCTGCTCTTGTAGCTGCTGTGCTTATGTGGTGAGTCCAGTTGAGTTTATCGTCAATGGTAAGCCCCAGGGTGTTGATAGTAGGGGATTCAGTGATGATGACACCATTGAATGTCAAAGTGCGGTGGTTGGATTGTCTTTTACTGGAGATAGTCATTGCTGTGCATTTGAGTGGCCTGAATGTTTCTTGCAACTTCAAGAAAATTATAGTTCTAATTTAAAATCAGCTTGATTCTCTGTTGTCTTATGTTGAGAATACTCACTAAAAACAAGCAATTGTTATGGTATTCTGTTTTTGTCTTTTCAGAATGGAATGAGAAAAAGTCATGGATGAAAAGTACAGAAAAATGTTTATTGTTCATAGAGCTTCTTTTATGTCAGAGCACCTGAAATGCTTCACAGGAACTGATGTATTGGCATGCAAGCTATAAAATTAGAGTGATCTTATTTATAAATGCCATTTTCCTTTTAATATTTACAGAACACTAATATATTGTGTTGCATAGCAGGGGGAAACTTCTCCAGAAAATTAAAAAATATTTTAACATTTCAAGAAATGGATGGCACATATTGTTGATTAATGATAAATTGGCCTGCACACATGTTTAATCACCAGAATAAAAAGATAGTCAACATTGCATAAAAATATACATAAAGTAATGAATCGAAATATTCAAAGAAGGTGTGTGCTTATACATTGTTGGTTTTGAACCACTTGTTGAATTGCAAACTAATTTTCCCAATTTCAATATTGCATTCTGTAGTATTTTTCAGAAGTGCAGAGACCAATTTACATGTTATAAAACATAGGCCAGCAGAGAGATTTCCATATAAAACAACCTGTCACAACTTTGTGCAATTTTTCCACTTTCAGATGTTGAAACTATTTTGGTTGTCTGAAAAGCTTGGAAATATTTGTCTATTGAATGTAAATTCTTCTAGATGCATATTAATGCTAATATAGCTTAATCATTTTGGAAATATAATAATTTACTTTTAGTGGCAAGGATTTCAGAAACTGTGGGTTGAATCCTACCAGCCCTTGAAGGGAACAGGGGCGAGTCAGTTAGTAGTATATTGCGAGATCAGAGAAATGAAATGCTTGACATTGAAAACACAAAGTCTGATTTTTCAGCCAAGGTTTAACAATGAGACAAGAGTCTAGCCAGAGAGTAACGAGAGACCCATTTGCATGCATTAATATCTCATTATTACCTAGTCTCATCTCATTTATATGCATGTTGTTACTTTCCCATTGCATTCAAGAGAAATGAGACAGCGATAATTCCTGACATGAAAGTCTGAGCAGGCAACTAGTGGCTGCAACTTGTCAGGCATCCACCTTGGTCAGCATTCCTAAACATCTCAGGGCACACTCTCTGGGCAGTGACTGCCTTTGCTCTTCATCCGTGGAGATTGGCATCAGCAAAGTAGCAACTTTACCACATCATCAGGCCACATTTTGGACTTGCTTTTCGTTCAGTTCAGCAAAGCATCTTGGAGCTCACTGACATCTAACATTGCAATTCTGCTTTAATCTTGACAAGACCCCCTAATTTGTTATAGAGCAGACCAAACCCCTCAAAATATATTAAGACAATAGTCTAGACCCTGACTTTTTCTTATTTTAAAGGTAAGTGTAAGGCATTGCTTTCCAGTTGTAATTCAATTACTCAAACTATTGACTTTAAGCAAAACAGTTTATTTTTACACTGCATCTAAAACACAGATAAAATAAAAATAAAAGGAAAGAATTAGCTTAACTGTAACTCAATTGAAATGCTTAACAAAATAATAGATATATTAACTACTACTAATCAACTGTTCCAATACAGTAACTTCCAATACAGTAAACACATTTGGCAAAGGCAAATTCAGTAAAATGGGTGGTCTCACAATCAATTCTCGCAGCAGGAAGGAAACCGCAGCTTTTAGCTGTAACAGAGAGAGGAATAAGAGCTTCCACATCCAGCTTCAAACCTCCAGCAATGGCAATAAGGTAAAGCTAAAAATCCTGGTCCTGTGGGAGCTTGACCCCACTGATTCAGGTTGCTTCAACTGTTCCAACTTTAAAAAAAAGGCCTCACAAGCTGTTTAATTTATTGGCTTTGGAGCAGACTGCTCAGTACCTCTGTCTCAACATTTCCTTCATAAAAAAGAACCAGGACGAATATACTTCTTAAAGCCATAGTATCATCACAGGTATAGGGTCCAAAATTGCTCACAATATTCAAAATGTGGTCTGACCAGAGCTTTTTATAGCCTCAAAAGTACATCCTTGCTCTTGTATTCTAGTTCTCTCAAAATGAATACTAACATCATATTTTCCTAACTGCCAAATGAACCTGAATGTTAACCTTAAGAGAATCCTGAACTAGGACTCCGAAGTCCATTTGTGCTTTAGATTTTTGAAGCCCTTCCCCCATTTTGAAAACAGTCTACACGTCCATTATTCCTACCAAAGTGTATAACTTCACACTTTCCCACATGGTATTCTATCTGTCACTTCTTTGTCCATTGTCCCAGCCTGTCCAAGTCCTCCTGCAGCTGCCCGACTTTCTTACCATAACCTGTCCCTCCACCTATCTTCGTGTCATCCGCAAACTTAGCTACAATGCCCTGAGTTCCTTCACCCAGACTGATAATGTACAACATCACCTAGCACCTTTGTATTTTCAGATTGCAAAAATCACTAAATTGTTCAGAAAACTTCAATGTGGAAAGTTAACTAATTATGGAATGGTGCAAGATTTCTTAAAATTTAAAAAATGATTTGATAAAATACATTTGCAAACTTCATATGCATCCTTTTCATTGGGTTCTACAATGAGAATTTTGGAAGAATTCTGAAATTTGTTTGCCAATCCTATTAACTATTTATCTTTCTATTCAATTATAGGATTAATTGGGAGACAATATCCTTAGAAGAGGTGCATTAAATCCAAAGCACACAATAAAAACAATGGTAATGTTCAAATTTCTAAAGCAAATTGTTGCATTTCAGGATTCTTCAAGCTAAACAAGACACTAGAATTGGTTTCTGATTAGAAGACATATATGTTTCATGTTAACAGATGAAGCAAATGATATTTTTCATGTAAGTTGTTTCTCTTTTCAATAATTCTCTTTTTTCTTTATGGATTTAAACAGATACACAGCCATGATGAACTGCAATACCTAGGAGGAGACAAACAGTTAAACAAGAGTGAATCATATACCAGGTTTAATTCATTGAAATGACAAATGATTACCAGTGATGTCAACCAGTTCAGCAGAAGTGTTCACTCATTTGAAATAAAGATTACATGAGTTAAAGTAGCTAACAGATGAATATTATTAGTTTGAGGTTCCCCCTGTTGTATGCTAATTTGTGTACTGACTGGATTAGTACTTGCCTTAAGTCCTCTGTGCTAAATAGAGAATGGTCCTTAGGCTAAACAGGTGGAAGACCAGAGTTCTCTAACAGCTTGTTCTCACAGCACAACACGGTCTTCTCCACCCATAAACTATCAAAATCCCCAGAGAGCCATCGAATAATCTAGATCAACTCCCATGCCATGAGAGCCTTCTCTTACCAAGGGCAAACATTGACAATGAAGCTCAACAATGTCGCCAGTGTGTTAGTACAATCTTTGGCTATCTGGTAAAAAGAATGTTTAATGCAAAGACCTCAAACCCGACACCAAGCTCATGGTCTACAAAGCAGTGTTACCTATCCTCTTGAGTGTGTCAGAAGCATGGACAATGTATAGCAGAGACCTAAGACTTTGAGAATTATCATCAATGATACCTCTGTAAAGAGTAATCTAGACTTGAAACATTCTCTCCATGGATGTTGCCTGACCAACTGTGATTGGCCTCGATCTGGCCAACCTTCTCAGCATCGAGGCACCGGTTATGGCCAATCATCTGTGTTGACCGTCGTCCATGTGCCTGACATAACACTTCTAGAACTAACTCTGTACTTTGAACTTTATCATGGCAAGTTGTACCAGGAGGGCAGAGAAAACATTTCAAGGATGTACTCCTTAAAAAGATGCTGTATCCTTATCAACTCATGGAAATCTCTCGTCCAAACTGGAGAAGAAGCATCTGTAAAGATGCCAACCATCTTGGGTATCTTTGACAGGTCCCAATGGAAGCCAAGAGCAAACAGCAGAAGGAGTGTGTGAAAAGTTGTGAATACCACCCAATCACTTCAGCAAATACCATGGTATGTGGATCCCGCATTGGAATATTTTGTCACCTCAGGACCCATGGCACCAGAGTGGAAGCAAGTCATCCCTAGTCACAAGGGACTGCCTGAAACATGAACAACATTCCACTGGAATGTATGGTGATCTGCTTCATTATTGATGGGTTGGAAATATTATTTTCAGCAATTCCTGTGAAAAGCATTAGTGGACAGAAAGTCATGGGAGGAAAGCACTAGCTATCAGAAATTACCCCAGCACATTCACACACCAGCTGATTTATCTCTCCACAGGCATTAGAGGCTGAAAGAGGAATTCATTACATAAAACAAGGGCAGTGCCAGAATATTTATTTATAATGTGCATACTTATGCTCTAATGTAACTTGACCCAAGAATCTTTCATAAAGCATTTAAAATATTTTAACAAGTAATCAAACACAGATGGGTCATAGATTTTTTTTTATTTCTACTGTACGTTCTAGCCCATTTAACTCAAATTAAATGAGATCAAATCTCATGTAATATAATTTTCCAAGATAAAATTATATTTTTGTTCTTCAATTATGTGGAACAGAATCATTGTGGTCATTGTATATCGGGTGACTTAGTAGTATTGAAGATGATTTTCTGGAGTTGTAATTTCAAGCTAAATTGTTCCTTTTGAAGAGTACAGTTAATTATTACAGTAGCTATGGAAACATTGGTGTGGATTTTTGTGGATTCTGGTAGCGGGTTGGCATGCAGTGCGCCAGTAAAACACCATGAATGTCATAGTGTGGAGCTGGAGGAACACAGCATGTCAGGCAGCATCAGAGGAGCAGGAAAGCTGACGTTTCAGGTCGGGACCCTTCTTCAGGCAGCATCTGCAGTTCTTACTATCTCACCATGAATGAAGTGCTACACCTGCCCCCATACCTTCTCCCTCACCCCCATCCCAGGCCCCAAGAAGACTTTCCACATCAAGCAGATGTTCACCTGCACATCTGCCGATGTGGTATACTGCATCCGCTGTACCCGTTGTGGCCTCCTCTACATCGGGGAAACCAAGCGGAAGCTCGGGGACCGCTTTGCAGAACACCTACGCTCGGTTCGCAATAAACAACTGCACCTCCCAGTCACGAACCATTTCAACTCCCCCTCCCATTCCTCAGACGACACGTCCATCCTGGGCCTCCCGATGCCACCCGAAGGTTGCAGGAACAGCAACTCATATTCCGCTTGGGAACCCTGCAGCCCAATGGTATCAATGTGGATTTCACAAGCTTCAAAATCTCCCCTCCCCCTACTACATCCAAAACCAGTCCAGCTCGTCCCCGCCTCCCTAACCTGTTCTTCCTCCCACCTATCCCCTCCTCCCACCTCAAGCCGCACCCCCATCTCCCACATACTAACCTCATCCCGCCCCCTTGACCTGCCCATCCTCCCTGGACTGACCTATCCCCTCCCTAACTCCCCACCTACACTCACCTTTACTGGCTCCATCCCCGCCTCTTCGACCTGTTTGTTTTCTCTCCACCTATCCTCTCCTCTATCCATCTTCTGTCCGCCCCCCACTCTCTCCCTATTTATTTCAGAAACCCCTTCCCTTCCCCCATTTCTGATGAAGGGTCTAGGCCCGAAACGTCAGCCTTTCTGCTCCTATGATGCTGCTTGATTGGCTCAATGGGCCAAGGCATGTCTGCTTTCTCTCACCAGCCTATGCTGTGATAGCTGCCAGCTTGATTGCTTGGTGTGGGCCTCTCCTACTGCTGTTTAAATCTCAATGGCAATGGGATGTGGCCATACATAGGCCTCAATTAGACCACAGACAGCCAACCTGCCCAATGCCTCCACAACCAGTGGTAGAACAATGGCAGGACAGGGGAGTAGGCAGCAGGCATGACATTGTGGATTTGGCACCAACAATGACTATAGCTTCTGGCTGCATTGCTAGGATCTGAGAGCTACTCACCATTAGTTTGAGGGCCTGGAGGGAGAAGTTCTGCCTTAAATCAATTAGCACCCCTCCACATAATAAATGCCTGCACATCGAGCAGCCAGTGAACTTTCCCCCAACATTTCAGACAGAGTTTGGGGAGCCCAGCATCACATTAAATCCAGCCCACAGCAAACATGTGGTATTAAAGCTATGTAAGGAACATCACCCTATGTTCATGACTGTTCAGACAACACTGATGAAGCTATGTGGGAAAGTGAGTTGATATATGCTTCATTACTTTTTGGGATCAGCAAACAATGACTTAAGTATCGTTCTGTTCTGCTGAACAAAGATGTATTTTGCAGTAGGCCTGATTGAAGGAAGGTCATTCAACAACGACTTAATATTCTGATACATGTTGGCGTGGTCATAATCTATAGCAATCGAGTAACTGAAGAGCTTAAGAGGACCATATATTCACGATAACTAAGTCACTAGAAGACAGCATGATGAGAATAAGTGTGTCTTCTTAGCTGCATATTATCTGAAGTTCACACCATATGTTTATTAGTATATTGGAATTTAGCCTTAGAACGTGAGAAAAGTTGAAATGCAATAATTAGAATCGGAATAAGTGTCTCAGGAAAATGACTTTGCTGCATGGTTAGTGGGAATTGTGAAGCATGCATTGTGAATTCATGGATAAAGCATCATTGGATTATAGAGAATTGTACTAAATACTCTTGCTGGATAATGTAACAAGTCTGTCAAATACAAAGATAGTAGGAACTGCAGATGCTGGAGAATCTGAGATAACAAGGTGTAGAGCTAGATGAACACAGCAGGCCAAGCAGCATCAGAGGAGCAGGAAGGCTGA